GTTAGTCATAATTTTAACTAGGCAACTACTTAGCTACAATTTTCCTTTTCATAAGATGACTCCTTCTATGCTTCTATTCTACTTCCTGAACTTTATGAGAATATTCAACTTCAGAGCCTAGTTCCAGCTCCTTATATCTTTCCATGTTTCTTGTCTGAAATTAACCTTGATTCATCCCAACAGATCTTGGCTAAATCCTGTTAAAAGTATGTAGCCCACCAAACTTGAAGGAGGACCACTTCCTCCAATTAACTATAGGAATAAAAATATGCCTCAGTAGACATGGTTCCAAATCTTCTAGCCAATCAGAATTACACAAAGGAAAAAAGTGCTAAGAGCTACTTAGAATTGTAAGTTTTCATCTACATATGAAATTCAAAATAAAAGTCAAAAATTGTTTCTCCAGATGAAGCTGAGAATCTTTTTTTCAAGGTCTGTAAAGAATTGAGTTGGTATTTTGATGGGAATTGCATTGAATCTGTAGATTGCTTTTGGCAGGATGGCCATTTTCACAATGTTAATCCTACCAATCCATGAGCACGGGAGATCTTTCCATCTTCTGAGATCTTCTTCAATTTCTTTCTTCAATGACTTGAAGTTTTTCTCAAACAGGTCTTTCACTTGCTTGGTTAGAGTCACACCAAGGTACTTTATGTTATTAGTGGCTATTGTGAAGGGTGTTGTTTCCCTAATTTCTTTCTCAGCCTTTTTGTCTTTGGTATACAGGAGGGCTTCTGATTTTTTTTGAGTTGATTTTGTATCCTGCCACTTTGCTGAAAGTGTTTATCAGCTGAAGAAGTTCTCTGGTTGAATCTTTGGGGTCGCTCATGTATACTATCATATCATCTGCAAATAGTGACACTTTGACCTCTTCCTTTCCGATTTGTATCCCCTTGATCTCCTTTAGTTGTCTTATTGCTCTGGCTAGGACTTCAAGTACAATGTTGAAGAGATATGGAGAGAGTGGGCAGCCTTGTCTTGTCCCTGATTTCAGTGGGATTGATTTAAGTTTCTCTCCATTGAGTTTGATGTTGGCTATAGGCTTGCTGTATATTGATTGCCTTTACTATCTTTAGGTATGTGCCTTGTATCCCTGATCTCTCCAAGACTTTAAACATAAATGGGTGTTGGACTTTGCATTTGTTCAACCATGTTCGTAGCAGCTTTATTTGTAATAGCCAGAACTTGGAAACAACCCAGATGTCCATCAACGGAGGAATGGATACAGAAGTTGTGGTATTTTTACACAACGGAATACTACTCAGCAATCAAAAAGGAGGAAATCATGAAATTTGCAGGCAAGTGGTGGGATCTAGAAAAGATCATTCTGAGTGAAATATCCCAGAAGGAGAAAGACAAACTTGGTATATACTCGCTTATATAGACCTACAAGATACGATAAACATAATGAAATCTACACACCTAAAGAAGATAATCAAGAAAGTGGACACAGGCGAAGGTGATTAATCCTCATTTAGAAAGACAAATGGGATGTGCATTGAACTTATGACAGGAGTCTACCACAAAAGGCATCTGAAAGACTCTACCTAGCAGTGTTTCAAAGCAGACACTAAGACTCATAACCAAACCCTCGGCAGAGTTCAGGGAATCATATGAAAGAAGGGAAGTTAGTATGATATGGAAAGGATAGGAGCTCTACAAGGACCAAATATATCCGGGCACAGGGTCTTTTCTGAGACTGACACTCAACCAAGGACCATCTATGGATATAACCTAGAACTTCTGCTCGGACGTGGCCCGTGGTAGCTCAGTAACCAAGTAGTTTTCCAAAGTAAGGGGAACACGGACTAGTTCTAACAGGATCTCAAGGGCAGGCTGTTTGACCCCCCCTCCCCCAGGGGAGGAGCAGTCTGTTAGGCCACAGAGGAGGACTTTGCAGCCAGCCCTGAAGATACCTGATAAAACAGGGTCAAATGAAAGGGGAGGAGGTCCTCCCCTATCAGTGGACTTGGAAAGGGGCAGGGAGGAGACCAGGGAGGGAGTGCAGGGTTGGGGAGGGAATGAGGGAGCGGGATACAGCGGGACACAGAGTTAACAAAATGTAACTAAAAAGAAAAATAAAATTTTAAAAAAAATGAAAAAAAAAGTCAAAAATTGATGAGGCAGACTAAATTCAATGAAAAATGCATTTAAAGACTAACACAATATGCTGTGAAGGCAGGACAACTTTCTTCAGATAGAGAAATAAAGGAAGTGTTATAAGTTACTCAGTTTCTTTTAAACATAAAACACAAGGTTAGAAAATACCCTTTGTAAAAACAAACATATCAGGAAGCCACAAAGGGATCTATTCTTAACACATTTATAAAGATCATATTTCTATAGCAACTGCTGCTTTCATTATCTAGCTTTCAAAACATTTGATCAAGGTATCCCTTAAGTAGTAAATCTTCAGGGTAAAGCAGAAACCAGAGTACACAAGGGTCAATTCTATTCTGTACATTGTCTCCTCCATGGAGCTATGTTAAAGCCTGGCAGCACATTTGAACCCTCTATACCCTCCACACTGACCTCCAGGTGTGATCACCATGACCTTGAACTCCATGCTTACAAATGACTAATGAGTGAATGTTGCCCCATGGCTAGTGTCCATGGGCATGATTGTCCATCCCCAAAGTTAACACAAGATGTTAATTTTCTGGGAACAATGACCATCTCCTGTGTGCTCTTCTTACTTGATTTGGCAACAATACAATTTCAAAACCATTAACACTGGCTTCAGAGAGAAAGTTATGCCCTAGTTATGTTTGCGATTTTTTACATCATAGCTCTCTGCACACAGCAGATTATGTTTGCTTACTTTCTTATCTATGTCCACCATCAACTAGAAAGCCTTGGAGTAATGATGGGCTTTTTAGGAGGTAAAAGAGTTAGCTTTTCAGTTTTGTCTCCACTGTACTTAGGCAGAGTTGCTGGCTCATATTAGATGATTTGTTTGTTTGTTTGATTTCTTGATTTTGTGTTTGTTTTACATAATTGGTGTTTAGTTTTGTTATTAGTTTCTACCTGAGAAAGAACTGTATGTGAATCTATAATAATATGGCCTTGGTAGCAACAGAAACACTTTCCTATAGGGCGTGAAGGTCAATGTTAGCCTGCAACCAGAGGTCTGGATGGCTGTTACTCCCTCTATACTTTTATATAAAGCAGCTCCAGAAAATAGTAAATGTGCACAGGTGTAGCTGAACTGTGTTGTACTCTCATGATGTGCTTACCTAAAGGTCAGCATTTCTGAGATAAAGCGGTTAGAAACATTTAAGGAATCCAAATCTAAGCGGCAACCTCATGACAGCCAGGAGCTCACTTCCAAACTATTCTCAACCCTGATGTGATCCCTTCTTTCATAATAGAAGGGAACTGCAGATTTGAGCCAAAAGATGGTGAAGGCAGAGGTGAATCTGGGCAACAGTACCCAGGTATAGAACGAGAGGAAACACCCTCCAGTCTCATGAAGACGAAGGACACCGAGTGCAGAGACTGACAAGTGAAGACCATGGTTGCCCCATTGTCCAAGGATGTTTGAATATTTCACAACAGTGACCCACATCAATCAAATCAGCTTAGCTTCTGTCAAAATGGAATGTTTGCTTTCTTTTAGACCTTGGAATTTGTCGCAGAAAGATTTTATGTTATAACTTAACTGTTAGGATTGAACTGAACTCAAACTGCTTTGACATTTTATTCATTGTCCAAGCTAAATGTAATGAGTTTTACAATTTTTTTAAAGATTAGATTAAAAACTATCTACATCAAAAATTATAATTACAGCTTTCCACAAGTGATAAGGTATTTTATTTAAACATATTTGAAAGGTGTTTAAAGTCCTTTTTATTTCAAGTTCTGAATAACCGCAGATTGTATTTTTAAGTGTGACCTTGAGCTGGGCATGGTGGTGTATGCCTTTAATCCCAGCCAGGGCGGCTATACAGACAAACCTTGTCTTGGAGGGGGTGGGGAGTCATATTTGGTTCATAACATTCATGCAACTTTTGAAGCTCTTCATTGGAATTGCCTTTTTCTTTCAATTACTGCTGCCTAATACAAAGACTCTAGTAACCTAAAACATGAGCTTCTTTTTTTTTAATGTTTGCTTCTCCTGAACACTTATTTTTATTTTTATTATTTACACTTTATTCACTTTGTATCTCCCCTGTAGATCCCACCCTTCTCCCCTCCCAATCCCATCCTCCCTCCCCCTTCTCCACCCATGCCCCTTCCCAAGTCCACTGATAGAGGAGGTCCTCTTCCCCTTCCTTCTGATCCTAGTCTATCAGGTCTCATCAAGCCTGGCTACTTCTTCTGTGGCTTGGTAAGACTGCTCTCCCCTCAGGGGAAGGTGATCAAAGAGCAAGCAGAGACAGTCCCTGTTCCTATTACAGTGGAACCCACTTGGACACTGTACTGCCATGAACTACATCTGTGCAAGGGTTCTAAGTTATCTCCATGAATGGTCCTTGGTTGGAGTATCAGTCTCAGAAAAGACCCATGTACCCAGATTTTTTGGTTCTATTGCTCTCCTTGTGGAGCTCCTGTCCTCTCAAGGTCTAACTATTTTCCACTTTTTTCATAAGATTCCCTGCACTCTGCCCAAAGGTTGGCCATAAGTCTCAGCATCTGCTTTGATACCCTGCAGGGTACAGCCTTCCAGAGGCCCTCTGTGGCAGGCTCCTGTCCTGTTCCTGTTTTCTCCCTCTTCTGACGTCCATCCTCTTTGCCTTTCTGCATGGGGATGGAGCATCTTAGCCAGAGTCCTTCTTCTTGATTAGTTTCTTTAGGTGTACATGAGCTTCTTTTTAGACCACACGTATCCATGTGTGCATTTGTGCATGCAGGCATGCATATACCACTACCTCCCATGAGAAGTCTTTTTTTTTTTTTTTTTTTTTTTTTTTTTTTTTTTTTTTTTATTTTTCCTTTTTCACATCCTCTACTTTTTTTTTTTTTTTTTTTCATATCAAATGACAATGATTTCACCGGAATCAGTTCTCTCTTTAGTCTCATTAATTCTATCTTTTAAGGAGTAGCAGGGAGAAGGGGTAAAAACAAATGAGCTCTTAGACAATCCAAAGTTATGTTATCTTAAGTTATAGCTGTGTCTAGCACAATCAGACCATTTCCTTTTCAAAGAACAATCATAATTCAAAGAATGACATGGTTGACAGATATTTAGAAAGGCATTTTCTAGGCAAAACTGAATTTAAATCATTCTCTAGATACTATAATGTGTCTACTTTTTACTATAATTATTTCTACTGACATTAATCAATTGCTTTTACTACATGACTATGAAATATTAATTCTTCCTCCAAAATAACCAATAATTATTTTTTTACAGAATTAAATAGTTAAAAGCCATTTGTAAAGTCAGTAACAATTGAGAATTTTTCTATTTATGACTAATCCATTATAAACAAAAGCCATTCGTAAAAACACAATTCTAGAAAAAGTGCAGTCATGCTAAGAACAGATAAGGAAGTCGAAGGACCTCACAGGATATGCTAGACCAACAGCTCAAACACAAAATTGATTTTAAACTGTATGCTTACACAAATAAATAAAATTCTATCCTTTTTTTCTTGTACATATGCTTAAAAATTCTTACACAAATATAAAAATGTTCATTTCCTTCACAAACTTCTTAGAAAAAAGACTGAAAAGAGTTTATAATCAGCTCCCAAGTTTTACGCTTATCTTTTTCTATCTTTATCAATTTCCTGACACATTTAACCTAAGTGGAAAAATCTTTTTGTCAAATGAAGCATGATAGTCTATAAATAAATGTCCTGAAGAACTCTGCAAGATTACATATATCCCATGTTGCTTTTGGTTTCCCATCTCTTCTTTGCTTCAAACCCCCATGCCAGCTTCTTCTTTTTTCGAGCAGCCTGTGAGTTTTCAGCCTCCTTTTTGGCTTTAACAAACTTGTGGCACGCAATTGCTTTGGCAACTTTTACACCGAGCTCTCGAGTAGCTAGCTGGTTGCTCAGCTCTTCAGCCTTCTCAACATCCCATTCCTCCACAGCCTGGTCTATCCTCTTTTCAAGGCCTGACTTCTCAACTTTTTTCTGTTTAACCGGGGGTTCAAATCTATCATTGGCTCCAAAATATTGAGTAAGCTCCTTCCACTGGGTTTCACTTGAGGACTGCTCACTCTGAGATTCCTTTTCATTCTTCAATTTGCCTTTTTTGGAGCGTTTTCTTTTTTTCTGTCTGAATCTTGATGTTGAATTTTTCTGTTCAGAATTTTTTTTATGCAATTCTTGAAATTTATTCCACATGTTTAGGGGAATTCCAGAAGGACATTTGTCATATGCATTTGTGTCAGTCTCTGTTTCAGCTTTTGGCTTGCATGCTGGGAAGTCTGACATTTTTGGCTTCCTACTGCTGTCAGTCTTTCCATCTTCCTGTAAGTTAAGTTCTGAAAGTTCTGGGTTCTCTAGTATGGCTTCATCTTCAGAATTTGATTCAACATCACTTTCATTTAGCCCAGGAGGTAACAGCCCACTCCACATCTTTTCTTCCAGCAGGAAGCAGCGGCGCGGCGGCCATCTTAGCACCCTGCCAACATCGTGCCTTCCCATGAGAAGTCTTATCTGCCTTCTCCCCCCTCAAAAGCGCATCTGGTGATGGGGGCATCATAACTTCTTCCTGCTGCCTCAGAGTTCTCTGGCTCTGAAACCCTCCCTGGAGACTTTAGGCAACACTTACTGTACAGGGTGTTATTTCTTTTCTTTCTGAGTTTTTCTTTTTTTAAGTCCAATCTCTCTTGTTTTAATAGCAATTTAACATTTGGATTATTCTGAAACCTATTCAGTCAGACTACACAAGTGGCATTCTTATAACACTCACCCACATAGCCCATATGTCATATTCTGGGCAGGCAAGATGTTAAATAAAGCCTTAATAGATGCAGGAAGGATACATGCACGCAGAAATCATGATATTTGAGATAACTGTTTAACTGTAACTTTGCCTCACTCTGTCAAGAGAGGAAAAAAGAAAGAATTGTTCATTTAGGTTTTCTTGGATCTTCTTTACCTTTTACCATTTGCGGATACATGTTCCAAATCTCAGCTGTATTACTCCACTTTTGTCTTTTATTTATTTTGTTTAGCCTTTTACTTGACTCTTTGTTTTAGTCTTCTTTTATAACTGCATTTATAACTCAATATAAAACAAGAAACTGTAGGAATGCTCAGGCAGGATAGAGATGATGCTCTGCTGAGGGGAGCAGGTGCCTGGCCCTGTAAGTCCCAGAAGGGAAATTACCACCAGGATTAATGCTGTGGTTTGTTTCACAGATCAAAACTGGGATTTGATTATATAATGAACAGGAAACCTGCAGATAATATTTCTTAGTTTTTTAACTCTCCATGTATTTCCTGATCACTCTCAGTGATTACAAGAGTAACACTGGACACTCATTTTGTCAAATAGTGCCAAACAACTGGTGAAAACCAGAAAAGCAGCCATTCAGCTCACCTGTCATTGAATGTTCATGAGGCAAAATGCCCAGATCTTTTCACAAGCTTCAGACACAGCCCTGTGATGTTCTTAGAGGCTTCAATTCTGGGAAAGCTGTCATGTGCACAGAAAAATCATTCACAGCCTCTTGTGTTCACAGAGACACAAAGATATAAACTGTAAAACAGAAGTGTTCTGGGGCTAGTTTGTCACTGAGCAGAAAACATGGCAAGTGGAGATCTCTTTTGTAAGGTACCATTTCTAAGAGTGGAGTGAAGTGTGCAGCCAAGGAGAGAGTGATATCCGGTGACAAGTGGTCACACAGCACCAGCCTGGGACCAGTCACTTCACATGCACTGCTTTCTTGAAATATTCAGAACCTACCAGGATGTGGCTTATGTCAGTACTGTTAACACTACTAATCACTAATATAGTAGTATGACTTCTAGAACAATGGCTATATATTGGTACAACCACTTTTCATTTTGCCACTTAGTCTGACAACTACCTCTTTATTAATCCTTGTTACACTTTGAATATGAAATATCCTTCAAAAGTATGCAGATGGTGGTACTCATTTGAGAATTACTAAAACTCTGGGAGGTGGCAAGTGAGTCAGTACATGCCTCTTTGAAGGTTACATCTCCTCCCTTTCTCTTTACTTCTTGTGTGTGCTGAATAGACAGCTCCTCTCCTTCATGCTTCTGATATCATATGCCCTGTCCTAGTGCATGGAGCTGACCAAGCATTGATAGAGCCAGGATAACACCTTATACATCAATTCAGTCAGCTGTTGTTTTTTAAATAAAGATGCAAAATGACTTATACAGTTCCATTTAGTAAGTAGGGGGAGTCAGTGAACCCAGCGAAGCCAGACATTGGGTAGAAAGTGTTCCTAAAGCTTCTTCCATGAATGCTTCTATGTGCTGTCCTTCATGGAAAGCTGTGTGTATTAGGACGTACTGTCAAGTGCTTTGCCTTTATCATAGCTTTGCATTGTGTTATTTTCCTATGTGTATTTCTAATGAAATATACAGAGTTCATTAATTTTCATGTAATGAACTGCTAAATGGGGAAGGCTGACTCCATGCTTTACGACTGAAGGTCTGTGATAGACACTCCAGTAGACATCATCTATACCCACGACATCATGTAGGGTCGCTGCCAGGGATGACGAGATGAAACAGCAGGCTCTGGACCACAGAGTCCTTGAAAGTTCCTTGAAAAAAAAATGTATAAACACAAAAGGAAGTCAAAGGTAGCTATTTTAAGTAAAATAGGATAGACTATCCGAAAGCATCTCAGATAGGACCCAGCATATCATCTGCTGCCTTAAGGTGATCATGTAGGTGATGTTCCAGCCTTCAAAAATGAGGCAACCTTTCCGAGAATTAGACTGTGATGTTTTGAGTATCACCTATCTAAAGGATGTCACAGTGACTTTGTAAGAGAATTCTTTCACAGAAAACACAAACTTACCTCATGCTCTGGTAGGTGCTATCTTCCCTCACTGTCTTTCCAGCTAAACAATCTTCAGTTTCTACTGAACTCTAACACTCACTAGTCACTGGCTGACTTAAGTCACACCCTCCTCTTAAGCTATGCTTCTTTCACTTGGTTTCTTTTTTCTTTCTTTAATTCATGCAGAGGTGATATATTCCATGATGTAGGTTTTGGAGGTGGGGAGAAGGGGATTGAATTTAGGTTGTCATGTTTGGTGGCAAGTACCTTAACCTTCTGAGATATTTCATCAGCTCTGTAATTTTTTTTTCTTTGTGTCTCTCTAGGAGCCATTGTATTGACAACTCATACACACATGTCCATATCCCTCAACTTCCATAGCGCCAGAACATGAGCAGTAAATAAGCACAAGTCTGAGTAAGAAGATACTTAACTTGTCTCTCATTCCTGTAACTAGGTAATAGGACCAGGTTTTGTTTGTTTGTTTGTTTGTTTGTTGCTCTAGCATTCTCTTTAACACAACACAAAACTAAGCAGAGGTGAATTGCCCATGAGCACACAAGTCAATGAACTGGGACTAGATTCAGGTTCTTTGAGTCCAGGTTTTATGCTCATCTTTCCAGAAAATCAACTAACAAACTTTGCAACAATAAGAAAGAAGAAAGAAAGAAAGAAAGAAAGAAAGAAAGAAAGAAAGAAAGAAAGAAAGAAAGAAAGAAACGTAAACCTAGTAAAGGCAATATACAGCAAGCCTATAGCCAACATCAAACTCAATGGAGAGAAATTTAAATCAATCCCACTGAAATCAGGGACAAAACAAGGCTGCCCATTGTCTCCCTACCTCTTCAACATAGTACTTGAAGTCCTAGCTAAAGCAATAGGACAACTAAAGGAGATCAAGCGGATACAAATCAAAAAGGAAGAGGTCAAACTGTCACTATTCGCAGATGATATGATAGTCTATATGAGGGACCCCAAAAATTCAACCAGAGAACTCCTTCAGCTGATGAACACCTTCAGCAAAGTGGCTGGATACAAAATCAACTCAAAAAAATCAGAAGCCCTCATGTATACCAAAGACAAAAGGGCCGAGAAAGAAATCAGGGAAACAACACCCTTCACAATAGCTACTAATAACATAAAGTACCTTGGGGTGACTCTAACCAAGCAACCTGTTTGAAAATAACTGTTTTCTACCTATTTGAAAATAACTTTAAGTCTCTGAAGAAAGAAATTGAAAAAGATATAAGAAGATGGAAAGATCTCCTGTGCTCATGGATTGGTAGGATTAACATTGTGAAAATGGCCATCTTGCCAAAAGCAATCTACAGATTAAATGCAATTCCCATCAAAATACCAACTTAATTCTTTACAGACCTTGAAAGAAAGATTCTCACCTTCATATGGAGAAAGAAAAATCCCAGAATCGCTAAAACAATCCTGTCATCTGTAGGTATCTCCATCCCTGATCTCAAGCTGTACTGCAGAGCAATAGTAATAAAAACTGCATGGTATAGGCATAGAAACAGAAAGGAGGATCAATGGAATCGAATAGAAGACCCAGAAATGAACCCACACACCTATGAATACTTGATTGTTGACAAAGAAGCCAACACCATTCAATGGGAAAAAAGACAGCATCTTCAACAAATGGTGTTGGTCCAACCAGATGTCTACATGCAGAAAAATGAAAATAGATTCATATTTATCACCCTGCACAAAACTAAAGACCAAGTGGATAAAAGACCTCAACATAAAACCAGATACTCTAAATAGGTTAGAAGAAAAAGTGGGGAAGAGCCTAGAACTCATTAGCACAGGAGACAACTTCCTGAACAGAACACCAACAGCACAGGCTCTAAGAGCAACAATCAATAAATGGGACCTCATGAAACTGAAAAGCTTCTGTAAAGCAAGACACTGTCGTCAGAACAAAATGACAGCCTACAGACTGGGAAAGGATATTCACCAAACCTATATCTGACAGAGGGCTGATATCCAGAATATATAAAGAACTAAAGAAGTTAAAAAGCAATAAATCAAGTAATCCAATTAAAAATTGGGGTACAGAGCTAAACAGAATTCTCTGTAGAGGAATATAGAGAAACACTTAAAGAAATGCTCAACCTCATTAGCCATCAGGGAGATGTGAATCAAAACAACCCTGAGATTTCACCTTATACCCATCAAAATGGCTAAAATAAAAAACTCAAATGATAACACATGCTGGAGAGGTTGTGGAGAAAGGGGAACCCTGCTCCATTGCTGGTGGGAATGTCAATTGGTACAAGTACTTTGGAAATCAATCTGGCACTTTCTCAGACAATTTGGAATAGTGCTTACTCAAGATCCAGCTATTTCACTCCTAGGCATATACCCAAAATTTGCTCAAGTATACAACAAGGACATTTGCTCAACCATGTTAATAGCACCTTTATTTGTAATAGCCAGAACCTGGAAACAACCCAGATGTCCATCAGTGGAGGAATGGATACAGAAATTGTGGTATTTTTACACAATGGAATACTACTCAACAATAAAAAACAAGGAAATCATGAAAAGATCATTCTGAGTGGAGGTATCCCAGAAGGAGAAAGACACAGATGATATATACTCACTGATATAGACCTGTAAG